GTAACCTAACTAAAGGATTATAAGCTGTTTGTATCCTTCTCGGTATGTGTCATCCTTTCACATTTCAAATTAATGAATAAGTCACACCCACTTAATGAATAAGACACAATCTTTTATTTTCACAAAAGCTCGATTCGTAATAATGCAACTATAAATAAGGAAATGTAGTCATCCATAACCTCAATTCACTCCAATAATGGAATACCTATAACCTAAAAACTAAAAATCAAAGAATATATAATTTACTGCTTATTTCCTTTCACAGCTAAATAGGTTCCTGTCGACTCAGTATCGGTATCTACGCTAAGGTATGTCTACAAAGGTATTTATCGTTACCATCGCACAAGTCCAAAAAAAATTATGAGGGAACACGGAACACCAAATGGGTCACAAGTACGTTGCCGGCGTTTTATGGATTGGTAGGGATTAGAGAACTGGGGATTAGGGATGGTAGAAAAATTGGGCCTCTGGTAACCTCAATTTGACTGCGGTTGGCGCGGTGGCTGGGCAACTGGCTGCCGCGCAACGTGTCGCGGGTTCCATTCCCGCACGTGGGTGTGATGTGTATGTGAAATTATATGTTTGTAAACGCACCCACGACACAGAAGAAAATCCTAGTGTGGGGTAAAATTTTTTTTAATCATAACAACGAAACTATTTAGGAACTAAATCATTGAGGATGTTACATCGTCATATTTTAATTACAATAGCATCGATCACTAATAAAGAACTAGATACACAATCAGTGACAAAAAAATGTCCTAACTGAAAGTCCACCAAACTCAACATCGCGGTGTAGTTTTAGTTTAGTACCACTCGAATGCTCCGACGGTAAACACGCCTCAGTGCTCGTTTAAAAACTGCAAAAAACACACATCTAAGACGCAAAAAAGGATGGAATTTCATATTTTCGTTAAGTAATAATATTATCATTATATAATTGTCATCATTCTATTTTAAATATTGATATTTTATTAAGAAATTAACTTTAAAACTTTTTCCAAATGAAATCGTATTCAAATACCGGGGTTATAATGCACACAGTTTATAAAGACACTTATACTAAACGTAAAATCATTCTCTAGCATGACCACTTAAGTTGTTCGGTTTACGTGGATTGATTCTGTTCCGTTTAGCGGAGACGCTATTGTTTCTAATTTTATTTATTGTTTTTTTTTTATTAAAAAATAGTTTTTATTTAATATTTTACTTCTTTACTGTGTTTATTAAAATATGGAATAGGCAGATATAATGGATTTAATTTTAACTGCAGTAAAGATATTTTTTTTTAGCTTTCGTCAAAATCCCGTGCGATATGAAAAATTGACAACAATAACGCCAACACTAGATCATCCTACCAAGCAAAACACCTTGTCGTACATAAAAGGTCTGCCACGTCCGAACATTAATAACTTTGGTTTCATTCCCATTGACGCGGAAGAGATTCGCAAGATTATCCTCTCTATTAAGTCAAGAGCTGTGGGTTGTGACTCCATATCTCGAGACATGATAGTTAATGTCCTAGACCAACTCCTGTCTCCAATGACCCATATTATAAATTTTTCCATATTCTCCGGTAAATTTCCATTAGTATGGCGTAAGGCCTTTGTACGACCTTTACCTAAAGTCGGTAATCCTACTCTTCCGACCCACTTCCGTCCTATTTCAATCCTTCCCTTTCTATCCAAGGTGCTGGAAGCTTGTGTCCACAAACAGCTATCCCAGTTTGTTTACAAACATTGTTTGATAAGCCCGTTGCAATCGGGTTTTCGACCAGGCCACAGCACCGTAACTTCCCTTCTTAAAGTGACTGGCGATATAAGGGCGGGCATGGAGGACACCAAAGTAACTGTTTTGGTATTGATTGATTTCTCGAACGCCTTCAATATGGTCAGTCACGATATCCTTTTAGAAATCCTGTCTCATCTTGCGATCTCCGACAAGTCACTGGAATGGTTTTCTTCATATCTTCAGGAGCGTCAGCAGTCGGTCCAGTGCGATGACAATTTGTCTAGCTGGTGTGACTTGAAGGCTGGCGTTCCCCAGGGCGGCATTCTTTCACCACTTCTTTTCTCTATCTTTATTAATTTCATCACTTTGGAACTTCAGTGTGCGTACCATCTGTATGCTGACGACTTGCAGCTGTATTGTCAGGCTGCGGTGGATGATCTACCCGTTGCTGTCTGCAAACTAAATAGGGACTTAGCGGCTATCCAAAACTGGTCAAACAGGTTCGGTATAGCCGTGAACCCTAATAAATGCCAGGCCTCAATAATAGGTAGTTCTCGAAATTTGAGATTGGTTGATGGTACAAACCTACATCCTCTCTTATATAATGACGTGACTATCCCATTCAGTCAAGAAGTAAAGGACCTTGGGCTGCTTATTGATAGCACATTGAGCTGGAGACCCCAAGTCACCAGTGTTTGCCGGAGGGTGACCGGCTCGTTGAGGGTTATGTATCGCCTGAGGAACTTTCTTCCGTCATCCGCGAAGACGCAGCTGGTACAGGCCTTGATTTTCCCCATTATTGATTACGCTGATGTCTGCTCAATAAACTTGACCGACTTCTAAATAACTGCATTCGATTCATTTTCAATCTTCGCAAATATGATCATGTTTCTGCACGTAGGATGCAACTTAAGTGGCTGCCAATACGTTTGCGCAGACAACAGAGGGCACTTACAACTTTATTCTCTTACCTTGATTCTCCTTCTTCGCCTAGCTACCTCGCCCCTTATTTTCAATATACTTGCGCAAACCATTCCAAATTTCTTCGGTCTTCCCACAATCGACACCTTCAGTGTCTCACCCATCGCACTGACTTCTTCCATTCTTCTTTCTTCATTCAAGCTGTTCTTCTATGGAATGCACTTCCGAAGGAAATCAGAATGGCAAAAAATCGCTACTCGTTCAAGTTAAAAGTCCACGAGCATTTATTTAAGGATTGGCAGACACAAAACAATTGTGGTAACTAGTCTCGACATGGTTTTTCCCATCTAGATAATATTATGTATGTATGTATGTACGTATATATATATGTTTAAATCTGTATATTATAGTATGTATGTTTCAATATATCCATACTTAACAAGTATTATTTATTGTATTCGTTAACTTATTTTTTGCATATCTATTTATTTATGTGTAAAGAATCGTGTTTGTTTCTTCCTTTTTCTTTCCCCTTTCATCCTGTTCTAGGACTCTGTGTCCTTGCTTCGCACCAACCGCAAGAATTCTCTGCACTGCCCTATGGTTGACTGTTAGAGAATGCCTTAAGGCATTAAGTCCGCCATTCACACTGTTTTGTATGAAGAAGAAATAAATAAAAAAATAAATAAAAAAAAAATTGCAGTACTTTCTTTAGATATATATTCTTTTTATTGTTTTACATCTTTTTTATTTGACTTTTATTTGAAATTTTGGAAGAATTAAGGAGGACGAAAATAATAAAAAAAATTATAACTATATGCATTAGTTTCATTGGTAAATAAATGAACAAACCTATAGAAAAGAATACTATAAGTAATGCGTTTTAATTTTCGTATTTTTTTTTTTATAAATTATCAAAAAAAAATTGAAAGAACTTCTTACGAGACATTTCGACTCCAATCATTCTTTGTCCTAGCGGTGAGCCGAAGTCGTAAAATTTTATTGCTCATTTTTGACACATTGTAAATTCGACTTAAAAACATGCGAATATGGTTCAATTTCTTATGATTTATGCAAAAAATGTTTAGATTTTGTATATCACTTTGTGAAAACAACTGTTTAATTTACATTAATGCATGTTTATTTCAAGTATAAGTACCTAAATACAGTTGACGACAGTTTTGAAGCGAACTTTTGTATGGGATTGTGTATCTAGTTCTTTATTAGTGATCGATGTACAATAGCCAATAGACCACTACAGACGGGGCCTTGTACGGCTGATATTCAGCCGGGATTGCGGGGTAAGCGCAATGAAGCACCGCGACATCGGCCTAAAGCAGGAGAAGGAACGGGGGGGTTTCTATTCAGTAAGATTCTGACACCTCTTCCGCCCAACATTTGGCGGGAGAAGTCATTAGATGATTTTTAAACTTGCATGGTTGAAATGCAATTTTTAAGAGTTCCGTAGCCAAATGAGTTTTTTTTTTAATTTCTTTGATTTCGTACCTGCTCTGTAAAGAGCATAAAGATTTCTCACAAAAACTGTAGTTTGGAAGACATCCGGGGAGCGTCCGGGAGGTGTTTTCTAATTGTAGTCCGGGTCCAACTGTAACATAGCATATGTGTATATTTATACAATATAATTATATAACTATACACATATGGAAGAAAATGAGTAGCTCCCCATTTCAAGTCAGTGAACATATTATCTTAACCTGATTCTAAGTGCAATTAAGTAATACTTCTATAGATAGAAGTTTTTAACATCATATTTTCCAAACTGACAAAACGTGACACGTCCAAAACCTTACTATTATATGAGATCTAATAATAGATTAGTAAAAACAATTCTAGATTGTTGTCTCCGTTAAATCAGTTCAAGTATCCTAACGATAGGTTAATTCGATGCCATACACCGAGGTGAGATTGCAACCCGGTAGTATGGTAATACAAAAAAATCTAAATAAAGGACATTAAAATGACTGGTCCCTTTTATTGAGAATTAACTCCTAAACGCTAGTTTAAGTCGGGTTAGAAAACACAGTTTAAAATAAGAGGTTTATCAGCAAGCATTGTATTTTCCGGACATGCGTTGAGAGAAATACATTAAGAATATATGTTCACAACGCAATACTGTATCAAATAAAGGTTTTTCTTAAAATCTTCTAGATAATAGCCAATACAAAAATTAACGGACATTTAATTTATCAATGTATGACCAATTTAATGTGGGCGCCTATTTTATATTACTCTGTGGTGGGCGCACTCATCATTATTAAATTGGCTTAAAGGACTTGTATCCAGGCCATAAACTCAAAAAAAAATATCATTACTGACTCATCTGTCAGTGCCACTGTCACTGTCAAACTGATTGTGGCGAATGGTTTCACGATATTCTTCTTAATTTATTGTAACTAAAAATCGCCATAACTTGCTTTGGTAGTTTTTTAACCAACCGCTATTAATATTATAAACGATGGCAAACTCAGGAAAAGGCACGTTTCAACCGGTATGTAAATTCTTAACAGTGAGGTTATAATATTAACGCTGGGTGTTTAACTATAAGCTTACTGCTTTCAGGACTCAGATGTTCACATTTCTTTTGAAGATCAGCAGAAAATAAACAAATTCGCTCGATTAAATGCCAAAGTAGATGACTTCAAAGAAGAACTGAAAGTTAAACAGAACGATATGAAAAATTTAGAAGAAGCTGTGGAAGAACTCAGTCTTGCAGATGATGCGGATAAAATACCTTACCTTATTGGCGAAGTATTTATATGTCAAGGACTCGAGGACACTTTGGTAAGAATATTAATAATGCTTAATGTTGTCTCTACATAGCAAGACAAAAGCCAGAATCTAAAGTATGGTTTTTAATAGATAAAAGTGATTAGAGAGGAGGGGTACCTACATGTCTGATAATATCCATTAAAAAAATATATTGATCAGCATTGCGCCTGTGGGAAGTGTGGGTCACTATTTTATATTATGTTTAATGTTTATCTACAAATTATAATATGATTTTAAATAATTTTCAATGTTTCTGACTTACAAAACAATAATTTTATTTACTGATTTAGTATGTAAGTGTAACTAACCAACACATTTACTATGAAAATCATCATTGAAAGCTGTTTATATATTTTTCAGAAATCATTAGAAGATGCAAAAACCCGGAAAGTAAATGAAATAAATGAGCTTGAGGCTAAATGTGATGAGTTGAAATCTCAAATGGCTGAATTAAAAGCCCACTTGTATGGGAAATTTGGCAGTCACATCAATTTGGAGAATGAGGAAGATTAATATTACTTGCTTTTTCTGCATTCTAATCTAATAAAACAAAAACTGCACATAATACAAATATTTAATAAGTCAGTATTACCTTTTTGAAACATAGTCCAGCTGCTTAAGATACTTAAATATCACAAATTATAATAATGTAATCTTGGCTTTGCCTGGCTCACAAATTGCTACATAGTTCTTTGAAACAAAGTTCTTAAACACTGTTTTATAAAATATAAGGCTAAACATTGAAAATAAAGAATAATAATTTAATTTTATAATACCAAGTATATTCACGAATATATAATAACTCTTTTAAAATATATTTTGCTATAAATTAATATGATACCATGTATCAAACAATTAAAAATTATTAAGCTGAAAATTAAAGTTAATTTTGAAATTAACTTATGAATATGAAGAAACATTTTGTTTCTTATAGAGAAAATATGATAAAATTAAAGCTAATTAACAACACTTAAGTACATATTATTTAAAAGTACCTATAATTACTAAATCACATTTAGTGTGTGTGTTTACATAACACAACCAAATACTAGTAGCCCGACTAAATATTACATTGTTACTTTTGTCACTTTGCAAATCAATTCTGATTTAATACTCATAGTTAAAGTACTGCAATAAAGCAAGATATTGATGTACTGATTGTGAGCTTTGTGAACTAAGATATATCAAATAATGATAATAGTTTACTAAATAATCTTTGGTGCCCACAACATATAGTAATAATACCCTAGATCTATCTCAATACTTGAATATATCACATATTGACTAAAATTGTAATACTAAATAGGAATCAGAAATAAAATACAAATACATCAATAACAGCTATAGAAGAAAAACAATAAATTAAATACAGCCAATATTAACTAGTAAGATATGATTAAATAAGTATAAAATTTCCTAATTCAATTGTACCATTGTTACTTGCAGTAACATTTGTGTCAATAACTTGAGCACCATAAAACAAATGCCAAAAAATATGCATTATATGAGGCATAAACCATAAAAAACATTCTGATAAAGAAATATCTCAGATTTCCAAATAATTCATACTAAATTCTATTTCCTATTTGTAAGATATGAGACCATCATTTATACCAGTGGCTGTTTTGCTGAATTAATGACACAATAATAGTTATCTACACTCCCCGTTGAAGGCTGGTGCGAGAATTGGAATGTGAACTTTGATGCAAACTCTCCTCTTCATCTGTTTCCCGATCATTCGATATTTTGATAGCTTGATACCACTGGTTAGTAAGATCTGTCATTTGGCTTTTGCAATCTTTTAATTCCTGGAATAAGAAATATTACTGTTTGAAACATAACTTTATTACAACATAATATCTCTCGCGCCCGGCCTTAGTCGAGGCGGAGCGAGAGGAACTGGGACGCCGTCGGCTCCTTCTGCGAAGCAGTTATGCTCGCAAAGAGGGAGGCGGCCCGCGTGAGGGAGCAATCCTCCTCCTCACGCCTCAGCTGCCGCAACAGGCGACACTACGGGCGTCGGGGATCAAGGGACGATCTCCAGCCACCGGTTCTGCGGTCGGCGAGTAAGCGTAGCTCGCCGCCCGACCAGAACCAGGCCCGAGCGTAAGGCGCGTAGCGTTCCGCGCGCGCCGTAAAGAGCCAATAGACCACCACAGACGGGGCCCTAAAGGGCTGATGTTCAGCCGAAGTTGCGGGGTAAGCGCAATGAGGCACCGCGACCTCGGCCCAGAGCAGGAGAAGGAACAGGGGGGTTTTTTTTAGTCAGTAAGAGTCTGACACTCCCTCCCGCCCGGCTCTAGGCGGGAGAAGTCAATGGATGATTTTCCCCTCACAATAAAAATTACAACATAATATCATAAACCTATGTTTGTATCTAAATATTAATTCAAACAAAATGATGAGTTATTATAATTCTACAGTTTAAATCCAGCTAATAAAAGTAACAACAGAAAGGATTTCTTATCTACTCATCACTTGAACAAATACATCTGTAGTATATTCCTGTTAGTAAAATGAATGATCATGCTCTCTCAGACCGATCACTCATTATGAGGCAACAATACACATATTACACATTTTACTGATTTTACCTGGTGCGTGAATCTCCTTGTGAAGAATGGCGTTAAATATTTCATATCTAGCCTCACAAATCCTCTCAGTCGTGTTTGATGAGAATAGTTAACCTGAAACAGTAATTGTTTGTTTATCATTGCATTTGGATAGTAGGTATGTAGTAAAAATTAGTAGAGATTTGCAGTGGAATTTCATGTTTAACTCTACAGTTAGGGACAGTTGCAAGCTATGAAAACCTGCTTTATAAAACAATGTAAATGTAAATTATACTACTATGATTCGTTAATTATATCTACTGTAATAGCACATTTCCATTCACCTCTAGTTCCTCTTCTGTAATCTCAGACAAATGTTCTGAATCTATGGTTTGACCCCATTCTTTTGTTTTAGACAAGCTCACTTCCTTCTGCTTACGTTGCGATCTTGAGCGCTTCGTTTTCTTGTTAGCCTGGAAAATCATTAATATTATTTAATATTTTACATTCTATGTCCATCATGGCGATTACCTTACTGCTAGATTGATTGAAAAGGACACAGCTAAAAACTTAACTATTTCTACAGTAATTTCTTTAGCAGTTCTTTATGTAGGTATGCATTGTGAATAGGTACTTACTCGCAAAAACTTCAATAAAGGCATTGTAGATCCACCAAAGAATAAAGTCGTAAATAAGACGATTATAAGGGTAGTAGTAATAATCACATGTCGAGTTTCGTCAGAGAAACCCAAGTGAAGTGATAAAGCATATGAAATTGCTCCTCTTAGACCTGTAAAAAATTTGGTTTACACCTATTAAGATATTGACCAGTTTTATAGAAATACATAAAATTGTATGCTTCATATTTTTTTTGTCTTAAAAACATATTTTTATTTTTGCCAATGTACTAATAATAGTAGTATTGCAATTTATGCTACAATATTTTTTGTTATCAAAATCACTTATAACATATCTTACCACTAAACCACATGATAAACATCATTTTCTTAGTTATCTTGTGTTCACGGAATTTATTGCAGAGTAGAGCAAGTGGAAAGATATTAGCAGCTCTACCAACTAGACACATAACTATACTCCACACTACTAAGGCTGGCTCCACACGATGGCGAAAGCTGAAATTATTATATTATATTTATTAATTTATAATAAGTCACCAACACATGTTAGTATTTATATTCAACTAATAATTTACTGCATTGAATACTGAAATTATAGTTTTCAAACCTGTTGATTTGTGAAACACACTAACCTGAATATGGCTAATCCTAAATAAGCAAACACACAAGTCTCAGCAATGAAAGCCAATGTTCTCATAGTCTGCTGCATAGTGACCTGAGTCACTGTTGATAGGTTGAAATGTGTGTAGTGAGACATTACTACACCACAAAATAGTATTGCCATAATTCCTGCAAATAATTTATGAGATTAATAAAATAAGTTTATTTGTTTAATATTATATGTATACATACTAATTCAGTGGTATTACATTACCTGATAAATGAATTCCTTCTGCCAATACATAAGGAGCATAAGTAAACACTAACATCATGCCAAATTCAAGAGATGGATTTTTTCTAAGATCAACATGTTTCAGTAGAAGTGCACTTACAAGTGCAAATAAGACTCCTATCCCAGCTGATGCAAAGAACATTAACCAGAATCTATTTATAGCCGAAAGAATTGCTTCCCCAGTAGACATAAGAGGATCATTAGAGTCTAAAACTGCAGTGGTCAAAACAATAGCAATTGCATCATTTAGTATGCTCTCTCCAAATACCAACATGTTAAGCACTGGATCAACATCAAGAGCATGAAATATTGCCACTGTGGCAACTGGGTCTACAGCTGATATCAGGGAACCAAAGGCAAATGATTCCACAAAACTTAATTTATATACAACTTGAGCTAATCCCAGAAGATATATCCCGGCACCAATCACAAAGGCCGATATAGCAGTTCCAACAATAGCAAACAATAGAATTGAGCCAATGTTCTGGAAAAAGTTACCCTTGTGTAAATTATAGCCCGATTCAAAAATAATAGGAGGCAAAAGAACTAAAAAGAAGGCAGTAGGTGAAAATGCTTCTTCTTTTCTCCAATTTGCAATGTTTTTGATAGACATCAAGTTGATAATCATTCCAATTAAAGCACCCAAGAACACAATTACCACACTCTCTGGAAGATATGAAAATCCTGTTTGGAGCATGAGATGAATCAAAAGAATGCCAAGTGCTAAAACACATAACACAAAGAAAATTGCCATAGAACTATTGTGTTCATCTTCAGCAGAACTTTTCTCAGGTAGGGGTGCTGCATCAGATGGGCTCACAACTGAAGCATTAGGACTTGAAGATGAAGATATATTTACTAACACAACTGATAGGATAGAGTCATTCTTTTCTGTAACAGTGTTTGCACTTTCAGTTGAGGAACTTGGTGTAGAATTTGTAATTGAACTATTCAAGGTTGATTCACTTGCGTTTGAAACACTCTCATTTTGTATAGTAGCTCGTTTTGACCTTGATATAATATATTCTGGATCGCTGGTATATTTGATATTTGACTTTCTCTGCAAGTTTGCTTCTGTGTATAATGATTTTATATTTCCTTGTCCACTTGATGTCGATATTTTCGAGTGATCTCCATAGCAAAAACTAAATAAACATACTATAACAATCCAAAACACCTCTTTTTGAATAGGCATTTTTAATTAAAATATTCAACAAATTCTTCACGTCACAGCTGTATGTCTACTTCCTTAAATTTTTGTATGTGTTCTTCATAATTAATGCAGACACTTGGAGATTAAACTTCCTAGCAATCAGCAGTCGTAGAACTCACGAGAAACCGAACGAATATGTAATGGAACTGAATTGAAATTGAACTTTAATTACTTGCTGTGAGTTTGAGTGACTAAACTCGCTTTACGTTGGCTGACAGTACTGACACTGACTGTGACACTTGACAGTTTTATTTTTGTCACGACGTTTTACCTATAAATACATACCATCATAAGATTTTTAATAAATCGGATCATTTTTAATTTCAACTAAACCCATTTAAAGTTTTAAACCCATTTAATTGCATTTTTTAAGAAATAAAATATCCCTTTTCGTTACATTTTTTTAAAACTCAAGAATTGGCACAGCTATTGGCGATGCAAAGATTATCCGCACGCCTCCAGCGGCGAAATTTAGGAACTGTCTAAGAACGACAACGACACTTTGTCTGTTTATTTCTTGAAGTTATGTTAGATTATTCAGATGGATCACATATTGAATATATAGGGAAACCTGTTGCTTGTTGTTGAAAAGTAGAAAAACGAAAAAAAGCAGTCTTCCATTTTTTCTTCATAATTTTGTCTTTTGGGAATAAATAAAAACTTATTCCCTGAACACTTATTGTGTTCCTGAGGAACACAATAAGTGTTCTTTCTTACTAACACATTTTGCGATCCATTTTTATATAGGTAGAGATTTATTTTTTCTGTTATGAAAACTCAAAGTGTCGTTCTTAGACAGCTTCACAATTTCAACACTAGAGGCGCTAGTAAGAATCTTTGCATCGCCAATCCCAAATGTAAATGATTTAATCATATAAAATATGCACATTGCAAATCAATCAGTAAAGTTCATTTAATTTTATTGCGTACTTGGCCACTAAATGTAAAACATTTTGTTAACGTTACTAAATATGTAAAGTATGCTTTGACCACTCTAATACTCAAGGAATATTAAAATATGTTGCCAATAAGAAATATGATTGATATTCATTACTTCACTCACTCACTCACCACGAATGAAAACTATGAAAGTCTTACAGTAGAGCATGACGTAAACAAAATATATGTTATGTCTTGTGTGTCCATGGCCAATAGCCATTATTCTATTTACAATATTTAGAAGCGAGGCTAATTATTTCATAATTTGGACACTTCGTTTATAATAACTAGCTGTGGTATGAAACCCTATTTGTTTGTAAGTAACGGTAACATAACTTCGTAGCAGGATTCTATAGCCAATGGTAAGTCAAGAAGCTTTCGTTTATATTTATACTAACATCACTTCAAACACATAACATTTAACTTTTTCATTTATTGTACTGTAAAATGTATTTAATAATACATTTTTAAACTAAGTCTAGCGGCCAAAATAAAATCTTTAATATGTAAAAACCGTGATTCAGGAAATATACGTAGAACGTGACGTATTTAACAATAACACACATTGGTTTTGTTTTATTATTGCCTTATCATGATATCAAAGAAATGTCGATAATCAACCTGGCATACCTTATCTTTTTTGTGTAGAGAGAAATTTCTAATAACGCGTAAAGCTTGCTGTTGTTTGATTACAGATCATGTGCAAATTTTTGTTTGTTTACATAATACAAAACAATAGGTTATATTAATTATTTTTTTTTATTTCCATTAATTGAGCTTATGGTTCTATTGCTTGTGGATTTCATCATTATAAATAGTTGTTTTAAATACTAAAAAGACAATGTTTTCTGTTTCAGTAGCAGAAATAATGGACAAAGAAGAAGCAATATTAGGAATGGTAATGGGACGGCTGGAAATAGAACCATTAAAATTAAATAAAATTATAAGTAATAAAAATCCTTTTACAAGTCCTTTACTGAAGAGAAACTTTATGGAAGTTCCTCTAACTTTTGTTCCTAATGAATCCAGATGCTCTTGTTCAAGTAAAAAAAAACTTAAATCTGGAATTTTAAAAAAGAAGCACAACAAGATTCTCAAAGAACCAGTTCTAAACATATTAAAGAAATGTAGTAGTGCTATTAAACTGGAAAGTATTGATAGCTGTGAAGACTCAACAAGTAGAAGTTTGGCAGAAATTGAGAGATGTGACCCACTAAGTTTATGTACACTTGTTGATAACTGTAATCAGTTAAGAATATCATCTAGTGATTATAAATTAAATTTAGTAGCTAATGATGAATGCAGTGGCCGTAGATGGTGGAAGCATGGTGTATTAAGTACACAGGAATGTAGAGAGCCAAAACAACAGAGTAGTAGATCAAGTAGCTGTTCCCAACAGGCTCTCAATCCACCCTGTGATGTCACCATTGACGAACTAGCAAGCTATTTTGAAACTTTGGTGCATATACCAAAAAAAATGTCCTCCATGGCTGAAATGATGTACATTTAATCATATAATATGTAACTCACATGTGAACCAAAAATATGGACCTCATACTAAGTGCAAAGTAAAGTAATATTGAATGAATTTGTCAGTTAGAACCAGGGCAGGACCTGTTGACTGAATATATTTACAAATTAATATTTTTATTACAACAGACATACTTTTTCACTGCCTGCCAACCTATTTTGCACTTTCACTTCATATCATAATTTTTTCATAACCATTCAATTTCATTCAACACTTTACCCATATCTTTTAAGCAATTTCTAACATCTGTTTACCATTCCTTGGTTTAATGCCTGTAACTAGATTTTAGTTATCTATCTATAATTTAGTTATGTGTCATTTTTTATTATACCACAAGTGATAAATACGAAACAACTATTTTAAGATGGAAAATTTTGTGAAAAATACAGTAAATAATATTTAAAAGTCTTTTCATTCTATTCTTTCATATTGCTCATCTTTATGAGTCAAAGAACATAAAAAAATATATAATTCTATACCAAGTTGGTATTACCGTGTCCGTTACCCAGGCCAGATGTTGTCGACAATGGTCATTTGAATCTTATAGATAATTAGTTGTGCGGCTTCTGTAATTGTTGCGCACATTTTTAAATTTGTTGCGCTTATAGTTTTTTAATTATTTCACAAAAACATTTCCTGCTGGCGTAAAGTTACCACAGCCAGACCTTTCTGTTTCTAATGGGAATATTGAAATAAATATTAGCTATAAAATTAGTTGTCTAGATAAAGTAAATGTTGTGCCTTATTTTGTATTTGTTCTTTCTTCGGTTGCGAAGTTATTCGAGATTTTGCTGCGGTAACGTTTTTGGTTTTGCTAGATCTTTGAAATGGTTAAGCGGATTATTATCATATTTTGTACACGACTTCCGAGGACTTAGTTTAAATTTGTTGTGCAATAACAAAACCAAAATAATGCATATTTTAAAGGTTTTTTCATTAAATAGAAAAACACTTCAATTGGCCCCAGCACTCTCAATAAGAAGTCTAAAGACTTACTTTAAACGTAATTTTAAAGCTTGTAACTGCCTTCAAATGTATGTGAAGTTTCATTAGTATCCCGTAAGTATTTAACAAGTTATGATGATATTCAGTTCTTCACGAGCACGGTCTTAATGCACGCGGTGTTATTTGGCCACTGGATTGGATATATGAACTGAATGTTATGTCAATAATTAGTTGTTTAGATCAGTTGTATATCAGTAAAATTTCAGCTCAATACATTGGATAATTAATGAGATAATACTATGAAAGTCATTAGGAAGTGAATGACCGTGGTAAGCCGACCAAGTTTAGGTGGTTACGAAAAAGCGAAAACGCAGAACATTATGGTACCTTCTAAAATATGTAGGATAGTGTTATAAATTTAGTACAGACATGTACAAAAGTTTAAAAAAAAACTACATGATTATTCGAGATTTTTTATTGAAAGGTAAAATAATCATTTCAATTGAACTTTTACTTCCTTAAAAACTTGTGTTGCTTAGCAACCGATTAAACATCACCCGTCCTTGTCATTTCTATTTCAAAATGCAGTTCAAAAATCATCTAAAAGGCTCAGAATACAGAACAAACCAGAAGGCGTCAACGCGCTTCATATTAAAGCCACTAAAACCACTCTTAGCTAGAGTAGTATGAAATTTCTACGATCAGTCAATTTTGGCACGTGGCATGTCGTGACGTATTTACGAGTATCAAATTTAATTTTATTATGCAGTCTTGTGTTATTCCTACGAGTAAAAATGGGGCTGGAATTACGAAAAAAGTGGATAAGATTACATTTCATCTGTAAGCATCGACTGCAATAGTATATTTAATTAATTATTGATTTTCTTTTACCGATTTATTTTTCTATGACAATGATGCGGCCATTTTGTGAGTGTTGTCATTTTTGGTGTAAATTTTACCCACTTATTTATTTGTTGTGAGTTATATTGTTGTCCATTGTGGAACCTTTGTCATATTAGTTTTAAAATGGATAAAAAACACATTTACTATTACATGTGTATAGTTGGTGTAATTAAAATTAACACAGCCAGAAATCGTCAACTTTTATGATACCTGCATGAAATGTGTAAACAACTAGTCTGTTGCAATTATCGTAAGTTTTCCTATTTTTTTTTTTGGGTTTTCCCAAAAAATATATCTTACCCCCCCCCCCCTTTAGTAAAATTACCCCAAACCAAGGGAATTGTTCCACTATCGGCAACACTACGCGGGTGGGAAGTGCGGCTAGCGGGGGGACTGACGTATTGTTTTTGGACACATTAAACAACATGCAATAATGAGTGAACGCGGGTTCTGGTTTGTTCTGTATTCTGAGCTAAAAGGTTACAAAAGTAACCTTCTGGCAAGACTGAGTGCGTTATGCAAACAATGTATTACCCCTTCACCCCACTCCTCCTGCGTCCTACCGAACGGCATGCTCTAGCGGTGATTTTTGATAATTTTGTGGAACTGGAAGATAATGTTTTCTTTTATATTATTATTATATAGGTATTAAACAGTGTACGCGTCTGTACCAAAATTGTAAGGTGTATTATACTAAACATTTTAAAAGATAGTACAATGTTCTGCGTTTTCGCTTTTTCGTAACCACCTAAACTTGGTCGGCTTACCACGGTCATTCACTTCCTAATGACTTTCATAGTATTATCTCATTAATTATCCAATGTATTGAGCTGAAATTTTACTGATATACAACTGATCTAAACAACTAATTATTGACATAACATTCAGTTCATATATCCAATCCAGTGGCCAAATAACACCGCGTGCATTAAAACCGTGCTCGTGAAGAACTGAATATCATCATAACTTGTTAAATACTTACGGGATAGGTACTAATGAAACTTCACATACATTTGAAGGCAGTTACAAGCTTTAAAATTACGTTTAAAGTAAGTCTTTAGACTTCTTATTGAGAGTGCTGGGGCCAATTGAAGTGTTTTTCTATTTAATGAAAAAACCTTTAAAATATGCATTATTTTGGGTTTGTTATTGCACAACAAATTTAAACTAAGTCCTCGGAAGTCGTGTACAAAATATGATAAGAATCCGCTTAACCATTTCAAAGATCTAGCAAAACCAAAAACGTTACCGCAGCAAAATCTCGAATAACTTCGCAACCGAAGAAAGAACAAATACAAAATAAGGCACAACATTTACTTTATCTAGACAACTAATTTTATAGCTAATATTTATTTCAATATTCCCATTAGAAACAGAAAGGTCTGGCTGTGGTAACGTTACGCCAGCAGGAAATGTTTTTGTGAAATAATTAAAAAACTATAAGCGCAACAAATTTAAAAATGTGCGCAACAATTACAGAAGCCGCACAACTAATTATCTATAAGATTCAAATGACCATTGTCGACAACATCTGGCCTGGGTAACGGACACGGTATTACCAATTTACAGAAATTAAAAAACTAATGTTTTAAAATAAGATAAAAACAAAAATAATAAATGGTTTCTGATATGGTATTGCTTGCTAGAGGATAACAATTATTATATAAAAGGCAAAGAAATAATCTGAATTTTGAATAATTTCATTTAGAACTTGAGGTAACAGACTAACCGAACAGTGAATGTTCGTTATTCCTTTCAGTGCCTACATAAGAATAATAATAACAGTTATTTATTAGTTTTCAGCTTTTCTTTGTTGATTAAATCTGTTTTTTTATTTAAATCCAAATAATAGGAGTTCCCTACAACACAAAAAATATGTCAACATTTTGCATTTGTATGTCATCATTTAGCTCTGAACTGCGCAGCCGACGGGAAAAGAGGGGTTTTATAACTTTGACGTGTCTATCTGTCTGTCTGTCTGTCTATGGCATCCTGGAGCCCGGATGAAGCGATTTCAATTTAGTTTTTTTGCATTAAAGGTGACTTACGTGCTAGTGTTTTTAGACATGTTTGACGAAAATCGGTTGCGCCGTTTAGAAGTTATGGGGGGTATGTGGGGAAGGGTAACCGACGGTCTGCAAATATACTCGAGTGGGGTCTCAAATGAAAGCGCACTGAAAGGGAATGTTGACAAGTTAATCGAGAGAAAATGATATAAAATACCTATAAAAAGTATAAAATAAAAAAATAAATTAGACACCCGACAAAATAGAAATATGTAGTAGATAATAAAATATTTGGATCGGTCCCCCAACGCCAGGTTTTTCTTTATTACTTTTTAAAGGAAAATTAGCTTTTCTGTCGGGAATTTTTTAAAATTTTGTTCCTAAAATATCCATTGTGCAGACAGACTAACTTCAGACTCGCCAAGATAGGTACGTCGGCCGTACTGTACCAATCCAAAGATAGACGTAGGTACTATTATGTATTATTTTGACCTACATGGAAAATTATCATTTAACTGTCACCTCTCAGTATACCTATAAAAAACGTACTCTGTGCTGTCATCTTGTTTGTTTTATTGATACAAATTGAAAACAAATATGACCTACCAACTTTTAGTTGTGTTGTAGTAATTAGTTTCATTAATTATGTAAGTTTCAATGCTAAAAACATGTTGAATGTCAACGCTGGATGTTTTTATGGGATATTCCTGGATGCATATACTTATTCCACCAAGTATTTGCTATTTACTATAACGGTTATCGTAACTGCTATATTTTTCGTATGGATATACGAAAAACCTCCGTTTATACAAGGTATCTATTTTTTTTATATAGTAGGTACCTACGCAATATCGGTAAGAGCAGGAACACATGATTCGGCCGGTCGGTGCGGTATAGCTGGTAGGTACCTTTGCCTTACATAAATAACTTGCATAGACATATCAGTGCAGTGGTAAGTATTTCGCTAAATGCGCTCTAGCGCCGCTCTGGAATTGCAACCACAAACAGCGGGGAGCGGTAAATACGTTATTAGGTACGTTGCGTCATCGGAGCGACACCACAGTCATAATTTTGCGTCACACACAATGAAGTTTTCTAAGTAAGCAGGTATTTTTGTTTATTGTGACACAGGAGAAGGAGATGTAATTGATATGGACAATCTTTATTAGTCTACATTACTTCACGAATGGGAAGTCCATTGGGATAAATCCAATGAAATTGACTAAGTAATTGCATGGGAAAAAATTGACAAACTTTATTTTTTTATGATAGCCTAATTAATTTGATCCTGATATAAAGTAAGTAGGTTGATACTTAGATACCCAACTTACCCATTTCTCCCGCCCAGTGTGGGGTGAACCCT